CTTTTTGGTCCCTATACCAAAAAATCCTCTTTTTTATCCCTAAATTTTAAAATTCGCTCCCCTTTTGGTCCTTCCATTAAATTTTTGCTAATGTATCACGCTAATTAATGGAATTAATTAATTATTTTTTGTATAAATAATATTATAAATGATATAGAAATTAGGTGGACATTTCATTTAAATATTTTAATACCACGTGGGAAAAGAAACACTAAATTTCTTCATCTTCTTCTTTCTCCTCAGCCTTATCCTCCTTTTCGTTTTCATCCTTGGCATCCACCATCCTCTTCAAGTCTTCATCATCTTGGGTTCCTCGAGGAACCCAGATCCAGGTTCCTCGAAGAACCTAGTTTCTGGGTTTCCGGCGAAACCCAAATCTGGGTTCCTCCGACCCTCTTTTTTGTTTTTTTTTTTTTTTAAAATTTTGAATGTATTTATCTTCCATAAAGGAGCTGAATGAAACCAAAATTTCATGTTCAGATGTGTTCGATATTTGGGTTTGATATCTGGGTTTGAAATTGCAGGTAATAGGTTGATGTTGTTGTTTTCATGTTGTTATAACTAAAGTGAAGGATTTGTTTTGCAAAGGAGAAATTAATGTTTAAAGTATTGATAAATTATTTTAATTAGTAATTAATTTTTATTTTTAACAATGAAAATATTCTTATGAATTGTGGATTATATCTTGACCAATCTCATATATAAAAGATTGATTATAAATGAAAAACAAGAATTTTGAAATAAACAAGATGATAGTTGGAGAGGGAATTGGAAACATTGATTAGGGTTTGTTATTGCACGGAGAGTTATTAAGTGAGTCATTAAAGTCCACGTAAGCGTCTTTACAGGATGGAATGTCCATGTCGGATGTTGCTATTAAGATAACGTGCCACGCTAACAAAATTTAATGGAAGGACCAAAAAGGGGTTGGATTTTAAAATTTAGGGACTAAAAAGGAGATTTTTTCGGTATAAGGACTAAAAGGGGGCTTTTTTCAATAGTAGAGGGACCAAAAAGGGTATTTAACCTTTGAAAATTGATTATAAAATATATAATTAGTTTTTAAATCAAGATATTAATGTTTAATAAAATAAATTTCTAAATCTTAAATTAAATTTTAATTAAATAAAATGACTTCATTTAAGATTATCACTCTAATTTTTTTTTTAGAAATGAGAACTGATATACATTTTTTTTTTATCTAATGAAAAAAAAATTCTTTTTTCGCAAAAAATAAAAAAGACAATATTTTCATAAATTTACTCAGGCGAGACCTACCAATTAGAGAGGTGGCAACAAAACGATGCATTCATTTGGTGATTAATGCTTCATTTGTTAGTATTTCAAACAAATTTATAATTTATAATTAATTTTTTTTATATATTTTTATTAATTTTAGTTAATTTTTTTAGATAGTAAAAGACTGAAAAGTCTATCACCATAATATAGTGCATGACACAGTATAACAATAACAAATGAAATCTAAGACTCTTTGGTTTACTTTTTCTTGTTATGTGTTATGTTGTGTTTTTGTCAAAAGTTATTTTAAAAATTGAGTACTTATTTATTAAAAGTATTATAAATTTTAGTCGATTTTAATGTTAGTGTATAATCACGAAGTTGGGAATGGTATATGTACAATAATTTTAAATATAAACTAGTTTTTGTTTTGCCTGTGTGTTGCACAATTTTTTTTTAATTTTTTATATTAGAGTTTAGATTTTTTATTATTTTTTTTATCAACTCTTGAATTTACAATGATTTTGTGAT